GATACAGATCCTCTCACTCAATGTCTTCCGCTTCGCAACCACGTTCTCCGTCAGCTTCAGCCACCGGAACAACCGCTGGAAATGGATCAACAGAAATTCAAAATCGATCGTCTTCTCCGTCGTTGTTCACTCATCAAATTTCTGTTAAGCTAACAGAAAGTAATTTTCTCCTCTGGAATCAAGTTGTAGAGCCGGTAATCACTTCTCACCAACTTCATCACTTTCTTATGAACCCTAAAATACCTCTTCAGTATGAATCAGAGCAAGCTCGTGTTGAAGAAGTCATTAATCCTCTGTATACTGAATGGCTTCGTCAAGATCAGATGCTCTTGTCATGGATCCTTTCTACTGTTTCAGAAGAAGTCTTGAATGAGATCCTTGGCGTTAACCATGCATACGAAGCTTGGGAGCAGATCCACAAGTTCTTTCAAGGAATGATGAGATCTAAGACTCATCAGCTCATATCTGAACTTCGTACCATCAAGAAAGGTGGGAGATCTGTAGCTGAGTACCTTAGACGTGTAAAATCCATCTGTGATGAACTGAAAGCTGTTAAAAGTCCTATTTCTGTAGAAGAACAAACTGAGTTAATATTAGCTGGTATTCCTCTTGATTTCAATGCATTCGTAACCTCTGTTAGAGCTCGTGAAAATCAATACTCACTAAGTGATTTGAGAGTTGAACTCATTTCCTACGAAATGATGCTTGCAAGGCAGAATGAAACTCTTCTGTCAGAATCAATGTCTGTGAATGTAGTTCAGAAAACTCCTACTGATCAAAAGGAAGTCTCTAGGTCTGAGTTAACACCTACAAGACCTCCATTTGCTGCTATGGAAGCTAACCAGAATCAGAACATGTACAGTCTAAGGCCTTATGGTTCAAATAGTGAAAGAGGCAGAGGAAGGTTCTATGCTCGAAGCAATAGAGGAGGAAGAAGTCGTGGACGTAGCAATATCCAATGTTAACTTTGCTATAAGTTTGGACATGGAGTTCAGACCTGTTGGTATAGGTTTGATGAAAACTTTATACCTGAGTTCTCTCCACCTGAAGCTCCTCATTACTTTCCATCAACACAGTCTTCGTTTCAGAGATCCTATCAATACAACAGAACTCCTACATCAAACCAACCTCAAGCTCTGTTGACCACAAATCAACCTCAACAGCAATGTAATCAACAAGCCACTTAACAGCAATGTAATCAACAAGCCATTCAACAACAAGACCTGAAATCAGCTACACAGTGAATAAGGCTTGCCAATTCATGTCTCAACCTCTTGAAGAACATTGGGCTGCTGTCAAGCGGATTTTGCGTTATTTGAATGGTACATTACATCATGGTATGCTGCTGCAACCATGTAATCATAGTCATCTGTTTTCTGTCACAGCTTTTTGTGATGCAGATTGGGCTAGTGACCCTGATGATCGACGGTCCACCTCAGGTGCTTGTGTCTTTTTTGGATCAAACTTAGTTTCTTGGTGGTCTAAGAAGCAAAATCTTATTGCTAGATCCAGCACTGAAGCTGAGTATCGCAGCCTTGCCCTTGCCACAACAGAAGTATTATGGCTTAAATCTCTTCTTCATGAACTCCAAGTTCAGTTTCGTACACCCCTTGATTCTCTGTGATAATCTCAGCACGACGTCTCTATCTCATAATCCTGTCCTTCATGCCAGAACCAAGCATATGGAACTTGATATCTTCTTTGTCAGGGAACGTGTTCTTGCTAAGGAAATACAGGTCTGTCATGTTCCAGCTCTTGATCAAGTGGCCGACACTCTCACCAAAAGCTTATCTGCCTCACGGTTTGCTGTTTTGAGGGACAAACTCAGTGTGGTGGATTCTCATAGCTATCTCCATCCACCCTGAGTTTGAGGGGGCATATTAGAGTAGCTATATTGTATACTGGACAGCTGTGTTTATAGTCACAGCTGTACCCAGGGTTATTTGTGTAAATAGCCAACACATTAGTTGGTAAACTGATGATGACGTGTAAGCTTGTAACAAACTTAGTTGTCCTATAAAGGGAACGCCTGTGTACTGTTTTCAGAATATACAGAATAATATGAACTATTCATTCTCTCTCATCTTCTCCTTCGTTCTCTCCTTTCTCTCCCTCTTTCTTCGCTCACTGATTTCTCTGACATGAAGGGGCATTTATGAGATGTAATTAAATCATTTTATATGCCTTCACCCAACAGTTTAAACTTACGGAATAGTTGAATTTTGATAAACATAACTTTTAGTACATCCAAAACCAAAATGTACTACGATATCTTGCTCAGGTGGCATCAAAATTTATAATGCATAATCACATAGCTTAGACAGTAACTCAAGTATTCGTATTGTTAAAATTTTATGGTTTAGGTAGAGACAAAGAAAGAGAAAGAAAAAGAATATTCAATGTAAGCTTATATGATATGTGTGTAATAATGTACAAAATACTGACCCAATGGTCTTATTTTTTATATTAATAATTAGGTGGAGTACTAGTGTAGTAATCCTAGTACAAGCACAAGCCCAATAACATTAGCCCTAATGAGAAAATAAAATAAACCAGGAAATACAACAAATAGGATATAACTCCTAAGATTGCTTCCTAAATTAGAATATTAGATGACTAATTTATTCCACAATATATTCTAAACTCTAAAGGTGATTAAAATATTTAAAGATACAGTAAAATATTATGAGATATTTTGTAGATGTTCTAACTCTCTCCTTCAGGAGAAAGTTCACCAAGTTTTAAACTTGCTACAAATGAGCGCTTCAAAAAGAAAATAACAAGTATAAAGTTGACTCTGGGCTCCAAAAAACACAACTGGAAAAACAACTAAGGAAAACTGAAGATTCAGAATAAATGAGCATTGATGAAAAGATAACTCAGCAAGATGCCTTAAATGATCATTAACCTAAAGAGCTAGTTGTAACCTAAGAAAAAGAGACATAGCTGAGATGATGCTTGGCAGAAAGCAATTATACAGGAAAACATAAACTTCTCCAAGTCCAAGAATAGAATTTGGAAGCTTCAAACAAGAAGAAAACTTAAGTGACCCAATTAACAGAAATTAAAACTGGAAATTAAATTTGGGGCTGGGGTGAGTCGCAGCCAACATAAGTCACCATTGGAATGATTGTCGACAAGAAAACAAGTAACCATTACAATGATTCATCAGCGAGAAAGAAGTATAAGTGGGTTTGGGTCATCTTTCTCACTCTCCCCCTCAATGCTATGCCTGCGTTGGAAAACCAACAATAATACCATTCAAGGGAAGAGTTTCAGCAAAGATGAAGATTTAATAAGAACATAATGAGAAAAGAAGGAAAAGGGTCACCAGAAAGTGAAGCACGATGAAACAACAGAAGTAGAAGAAAAAACTACAGATTTGATTGTGGCATGTTTGGTGCACGGCCAATGGGGAACAAAATCATGAGGATAAAGACGTTGTTGTAGTGGAGCTCCAAATTTTAAAGAACTTGGCAACAGAATAATGATGGGACCAAGTCATGAAGGATGATACTACTCTGATACCATAATGAATACTCAATACTCTATAAGATTATATTGATATGGTGTGTACTGTGTACTAATGTACAAATATTGACCCAAGGGTCTTGTTTATATTAATAATTAAGTCAAGTTTTAGTGTAGTTTTACTCTATGTAGCACCGATACGACACGTGATACGACACGACACTTCGACACGTCAATCCTAAAAAATTATGGATTTCAACACGTTGGGACACGTTTTAATATTAAATAATATTTTTAATTTATATAGTGTATATTTCATTTAATATTTAATAATTTAACAAAAAAATAAAACTAAATTAATAATACCCATCAACACGTTATAAAGATGGAAGCTTTAATAAAAAAATAAGAACTGGGATGAGAGAGAGATATAATATCAGATAGAGAGATCAAATCATATTAGAGAGAGAGATCAGAGACAAGGAGATACAACAAGAGCGTGATAGGAATTGACAACAATGATGCTGAGACGATCTCTTATCTACTTAAGGGGAAAAAAGACAAGAAAATAAAATTGATATGATCATGTGGAAGCTTTATTAATATATTTTAATTTAAAATAAAAAAATTAAAATAAAAAATAAAAAAAAATTACGAAAATACCATTTGACCGTGTCGGACACGGTCAAATTCGCGTGTTGGAATGGTCAACGTGTCGGAAAAAGTTGACTGCGTGTCCGACACCGTGTCGGAGCGTGTCGGACACGACTCTCCCTATTTTTACAAGTGTTCATGCTTCCTTGGTTTTACTAGTACAATCCAAGCCCACTTATATATTAAAGACCAACCCTAATTAAATAAGGAAACATAATATGGGAAATTGCTCCTAAGATTGCTTCCTCTATTAGATGACTAATTTATTTCACAGTATATTCTAAAGATCATGTAAGATATTCTAAAATATCAAAGATTCAATAAAAACATCAAGAATATTTTGTAGATAGTCTAACACATACGTATCTCAATTGAAATGAAAAATTCAATACCAGTTATTGTTGAAATGAAATGAGAGATTAAAAAATGGTTATTGTTCTAGTAATCTTTAACGCTGATAGAATCCAATGGTGACAGCATAAAAAAGAAAATGCTCAACATATATATTCTTCACGGTGAATGATTATAATGCAGCTGAGTTAGACTCTAGTTTCACAATAAAAAGGTTTCAGTTAAGAGAAATAGTAAGGTGCAAAGATACAAAATGCTAAGAGTTTACAAGGAATATGAAGGTAACATGAAATACCAAGTCGTTGAAAATTAAAAACCAAAGAGAATAAAACTTTAAGAAAAAGACAAATTCAAAGCAAGGACATATCATTGGATCAGCAGAAGCACCAAGCAGTAAGCACATATACTACAAGCAGAAGAAAAATTGAGTAGATGCAAAGCGTAAATATTTAGCATTTAAAAAAATCACCAAAGCAAATGCTAACGAAAAATTTACAACATGCTCAAAATGCTCCAATGAATACCTGTGAAATGATCGAATTCAATAAAGATATTTCCTTTAACATCAATTCTTTCATTTCTAGAAGAGCATTGTAGGTAGCATAGTATTTACGAGTTTGTCGATGTTTTCCCTGTAGATTGACAAATACCTATAATAATTAGAACCACCATAAATATGATTGACTAGGTTTAACAACAACAAAAAATACCCCACCCCCAAACTAAACTTTTTCTCTTTTCCCTCTTTTATAATCAACTCTCTTTTTTAGCAAAAGAATTTAAGAACCTGGATTTGAGTATATAGTTCTGAGAGCCGGTGTTCATACCTGCCCAGACACGAACAAAGAAATGCCCAGTAAATGATATATTTAAGACAACTGGGTTCTGTATTCTTATCTAGCTAACCCTATCGGATCAGACATGCATGACATTGCTTTCCTCTCTCCCATGCACCAACTCCATAGTTATTTTTTTAGAATTCTCTTTCATATTACACATTCTATTTCATGTCACACAGGGATACATTTGTAGCAGGGACATATCTCCCACATAAATGAATATATTTTAGAGACTAGTAGGGCTGAAGTAAAAGTAATTGATAAGAAAATTTCCTATCCAATAAGAATGAAAAAGAAGATTAATCAGAGATATTTAATTTTCAATCCAATTTTAAGCATTATAAGTTGCTTTCTATCCTGTAATCAAGCCTTCCAAAGTAGTTTAGGAAACAAAAACATTGTAGAAATTAGGAATATAAATTTAATATAAAAACAATTCTGTAGACATTCATTGAATTCTTATTGTCCCTATCTCAAGTTGAAAGTGAGTTCTAATTGCACACAATTGGAATGAAGTAATGTTCACATTCTACTCCATTAGTTTTAAGGAGTAAAAGAGCATTAGAAAACATGTGCAAATGAAATGTGAAAGAAAATATCCTGGATGATTTTTAGTTGCACAAAACTAGTACCAGGCAAAGGACATAATCAACTTCATTCAGCAAAGAGTATTAAGGAGTATAAGGACAATGGAAATCATGCACAAGTGAAAGGTGAAAGAAACAAACATACTGGATGATTTCTGATTGGCATGGTTGGTCATCAATTTGTCGTCTTACTGCCACAATATCCCTCAGTCTAGCAGCAAGTTGCTACAGAAAGAGAAAAAAAGCAGGAAGCTTATAGTAATTGAAATAATGGAATAAGCAAGGATCAAGAACTAATCAAAGTAAGTGTCACAAAATAACAATGAAAAAGAACAGGAGAAAAATCCACTCCCTAATTTTTTTTTACCTTTTTCATCAAATCAAGTTTTTCAAGTAATTCACTAGAAGAATGATGCAGCCCATCAGAGAGGCTCTTGTAATCACATTCATTTGCTACTTTCCTCTCTAATTCACTAATCTCAGCTTGAAGTTCTGAATGTTTAGAATCACGACTAAATTGAAGGTGTTTTTCCTGCCTTTCTAGATCCTGAACTAAGAGTGAATAGTATAAGCAACACATAACATTCAATATTAGATGATTAAAAAATTTAGATAAATTACCTGCACTATTCTTCCAGTTTGATAAATTGAATATTAAATTATAACAAAATTCACCTTCAAAGACGTCATTAAAGAGATCAACTTGTGCACCGCAGAATCAGTACCCTCCTTGTTGATTCTATCCCGTAGATGATCTAATTGTTTCACAACATTCATCTTCCGGAGATTCTGTAGTATAAACATAAATAGAATAGCCAAATAAATCCATCTAGAACATAGATGTACATATTACTGAGGATAGCACTTAGAAATAAAGCAAAGGAAGTGGTTATCCAATTTCTGTTAACGTTAACAGGTCAGACAGGAAAGGCACAAAACAAACAATAAAAGAAGATTACAAAAAGGGGGGAGGGGGAATGAAGGCATGTTATCATCACAGAGGAGTCAGCTTCGTATCTAACATCTTATCCATCTCACCAACCAGTTCATCCAAGTTGCCACTCAATGTCTTTATCGAAATTTTATGCTCATCCTCTTGACAAACCTATGGTTCCAAATGATACGAAAAATCAGCAACTGAATCAAACAAATAATAAACACAAGGTAAATGCGGAATGTTGCAACAAGCATACTACATAATCAGAATAACTCAAATGCTCATCCTCCAAGCTTCCATTTCATTGTCATCAAATAGGTACATAACCAATACTTTCATTTCATGAAACTATCATCAGAATGAGATATTCAAGAGTTTCAATAACAATTAGCAAAGAGTCTAATACCTCACTGAAACAATGTTCTTTTGTTGATGAAAGGCGTGACGTAAGCCATTGAATAACAGGAAAAAGAGCCTCAGTGTCAAGATCTCGAACATGGGAGGGTCGAAGCGGGTGCGGGCATCCTACTAATCTTAAAGATTCCTCAATGCACTGTGAGTTTTCATCGTCTCTGCAACCCAATTAAACAAAAGGGGAGAAAACAACGGAGAAAGGCGAGTTAGGGGAATTGAGCGCTGAAGCAAACCCTAACCAATTTGATTGACAGGAAGGAAGAAAGAGATACTTGCATTATGTTGTTGGCGTTGGCGTTGGCGTTGAGGGCGGCGATGCACCAAGAGAGGCCACCGGCGATTTTCTGAAACGGTGGTGCATCGGAATTTGTGGCGTCGAGATAGCCGGCTGCATAGAGCAGCTCCAAAATCTGCTCAACAGAGTCGTTGTCCTCCTCCATGCGCTTAACACTTCAGTGTTTCTTTCTTCTTCTTTTTTCTCTCCTCTGGTTCTTCCTTTCTTTCTTCTACTTTTGTGAATTAGAGAGTCTTAAATTAAAATATTTTATTATTATGGTAGAAGAAAATGAGAGATTTATTTTTTAAATTTAAATATTAAATAAAAAATAATAGTTTTAACTAAAATGATTATTCTTTAAAAGGGTTAATATTTTCGTTATTATTATTGTTATTATTAGAAAAAAATATTTATCATTTTAAATAACATAATTTTATTAAAATGATCATGTTTTGACATATATTTGATGGTTTTTAATATTCTCTACCCTCCACAAAATTAGGAAGAGAGACAAAGAGAGTAGGGCTGTTAACGGGCCGAACCGAACTGGGTTTTGGTCTTAAAAAGTTAAGCTTGTATTTAAATGTGTCAACCTGACCAGGCCTGTTACCTTTTATGAATATAATTTCAGCCTGTGACCTGTCTTATTTACAAAAAATAAAAGTCTGGTTTAGTCTGTTTAAAAAAAAAAGACAACAAAATTTATCCAAACAAAATACACAATCAAAGCACTAGTAATTCCATAAATATTCATAAATTTAATGTATATCCAAACAGCATAATATAAAATAAAATCATTTAAAAAGTCTGTTTAATTAATAAAATGGAATGAAATGGATTGAGGAGAGAGAAAGGGCTATCACAAGTAGTATAAAAAATAAAAATTAATATATTAGGTCAGCCTGAGAGACTCTAAGACCGAGCTTTTGAATTGGAGTCTGAGGCCTTTTTATTAAACGAGCTTTTATACAAGTCCAAGCCTGATTCCAACAATTAATTTTAAACATATAAGCTCAGGCTTTCACGAGCCGAGCCAAAGGCCCCTGGCTCGTTTAGCACCCCTAAGTATTGTGCAAGAAGAGAAAGAAGGAAATTTTTTTATCAAAACACAATAGTTTCACTTAAAGTAGCACAAAATTATATTATTATTATTATTATTATATGGCGACAATATTTGTCATTTTAGAAAATATAATTTTGTATCATTATAAGTGAAATTATTGTATATCGATGGATTTGTACCTTCTTTTACCTCCATAATATTCTATTTTTCTCTCTGCTCTTGATTTTATAAATGAGAGAGAAACTAAAAACCCACCAAAAGAGAGTACTTTCACTTATGAATTTTTTGTCCTCGATCTCTTTTTCTTTTTCTTTTTTCTTATTTTGTTAAAATCTCTTTTTCTTTTATTTAAACATATTTGGTTTTTTTTCCTTCTAGTTTTATTATTATTACTTTTAGGGTGTGTTTGGTACAAGTATTTCAAAGGGATTATTGGTAAACCTTCTTTGGTAAATGCAATTACCATGTTTGGTAGAAGGAACAAAAATCAGTTCTCGGATATTCAAGGATTACCGGTAATTTAATTTATAAAGAAAAATCACTATTCAGATTACCAAAAATAATATGGTAATTCAAAATACCAAGTAAAGGAAAATCACAACAATAAGTTTTGAGACAAAAATACCCCAACACACATAAAAACCTAAACCCAATCTATCAATTACAAAAGTAAAAATAGTTTGGGGTTATTTTTGTAAATTAACCTCATATTTCAAGTCATATTTCGTTCTAAACCAAACATGAAATCAGTAATCTTTACCCAATATTTCCGGTAATATTTTGGCGAACCAAACATCTTTTTCGTAAGATTCCAAATAAACTCAATTTATATTGTATTCCCATTAATCGTGATTTTCGGATACCAAAAAATTTCTCTCATACCAAACACACCCTTAGTCTTTTTTATCACTGTTAAATAAATATAAGCAAAATAAATAAAAGAAAAAAAAATAAGTTTCCAACACATTTGGTCTTATTTTTTCTTTTTAATTTAGACTTTTTTTTAGTCTTTTTTTTGGTAAATTTTTTTAGTCTTTTTTGTTACTTGTTGTAAGTTTTCAACAAATTTATTTATTTTTTCCTCTATTTTTTTGTCCTCAGTTTATTTTCTTCTTTTTGATTTATAATTTTTTCTATTTTTATTTTTTCCTTTAATTTTTTTATAAGTGTTATAAGTTTCTTATATATTTGGTCTTATTTTTTTTCTGTTATTAGTCTATTTTTTCTTTCTTCTAAGAAAGATAAAATAAACAGATTAGTTAAGTTTTTAACAATGTTAAGAATGAGTTTGGATAAAAAAATCATAGGTGATAAGTAATTAAAAATTTTATAAAGAATAAGTGATTCAAAGTAAAACAATAGGAGAATTTTTGAACTTTTATCTTAAGAAAGCAAAGTAACTCAATAATTGTACTTTCTAATTCGACTTTCTAAAATTAATAAACTGCAAATACATTTATGCTCGATCTCTGAAAATTAATTTGGTGGTCTCTCTCCTCTCTTCTTTCTGTCTACCCGGCTCATGTGAGCCGAGTTTACCAAATATTCACTTCTGATCTCTTGCATTTTTTTTTCTCTCAATATTTCACTTACTTGTAAGCCCATATGTGTCCTTGTGAAATTGATAACGGGTCTCATTATGTATAAATAAATATTTAATTCATCCTTCTTTAGATTTCTCTTATTTTTTGGATTTCCTATAAAATGAATAAAAAGAAGTTTGTAATTGATGTTGAATGCACATTAAAATCAGTCCAATTATTCTGTATTACTTGAAGGGAGTCCTACAGCAACCCCTTATAAGTCCTTGCACTCTATACATACACAAGACATGCATCATAAGTACTGCGATCAAAGCCCTGCAAATTCCTCAAGTACATTTTCTTTCTGAGTTGAAATATAGTAATAGATGTATGCCCCATAATTGAATGGCCTGTAACGGAGAGGAACCTTAATGAGTAATGACCACCTCGTCCTTTGGCACTACAAAAAGCGCAAACGAGTACCTCTCTTTATCTCCACTCATAACCACTCTTGAGTGTGGTTGCATGACGCCTCCCATTGCTCCATGCCTATTCATTAGTTATCATCATAATTATAATTATTTAATAAATTAATAAATCCATAAGATTTGTTGGGTTTAGTATGCTCTTTTCACTTAAGCCCAATAGCTTTAGTGAGAGTGAGTCCAAAATCTAATTTTAACCCATGAAGCTTAGGGTTAGTTTTAGATTGAGTAGGATATATAAACTTTTTTTTCTCTCTGCTGTCTCTTCGGGTTACAGACATCAGAAACACACCAAATAGGCAGAAGTTCATCATCTGAACAGTTGCCCACACGACCCCCCTGATCCCCTTGAGTCAGACGGGAAGATCAACCGTAGAGCGAAATTGCGACCGTTCGAGATGCGTTGCTGCTAGATCGTGGGGCTTGAGAAGGAAAACTGAACGTGAGAAATTGTCACGCTCGCTACTTCACCCCAAGTAATCAAAGCGATGTCTTTATTCTTCATCACATCGTTACGATGAGCTTCCGCGTTTCTGATCTAATGATATACATTCATTAATTATAAGTAGCTACACACTAGGCACTAACTAGTATATGATGTAGAAAGTGGAACATCAATTAATATCTACACTTCCATTTATATGTACATACCTTTAATATATCACCAACAATGACCACAAAGCCATCTTGGGTTATATTTAATTGAATCCATTTGCCTGTACCCTGGACTTCATTTTGGAATAGAATGGTTAAGGCGCTTTTGTGTGAGCTACAAGGGCAGTCTCCGAGCCATTGTTACTTTCAGGAACTTTGTACTTGATCAACCTTAAACTGCTAGTGCCCTTTCATGTTTTTCAATGTCTGAAGTGTAATGCTTCGGAAGGCCATAACCATCCACAATCATCTTCATGATAAGGAAACTCAGTTCTAGCTTCTTTGAGCTCATCGACTTCAATGTCTCGCTGCATTCATCATCCCCAAGGAAAATAATTTAAAAGAAGAATACATGTATGTACTAGTTAATAGTAGTTATTTCTCCACCATAGTTATTGATTTATTGTAATGGTCCCATGTTCAGTTTTTGGAATACGTACTCCAATGTGTTTTTAGTTATATTTATTGAATTCTAAATATATATATGGAAAGTGACAATGAGTGCCGGCCATCGTATATTAAATGTCAAAACTACGTTTGAACCTCAAGCATTTATTTGATGGACAGAATTCATACTTAAAAGAAAAATTAAATCATGTTTTTAAGAGTTTTTTTTATTCATGCTTATATAAATTTTATTTTATTTTATATGGATTGATCATAAAAAAATAAGATTAGAAATTAATCAATCTTACACAAAAATTAAGTTACCTGTAAAAATATAATATGAAAAGTGATATAAAAAAATTTGATGAAAGTAATGTATAACAAACATTATTCTATTTAAATCTAGAAAGAAACCCTTCCTATTCTATTATAATTCAAAGGTGAATACACTTTTACTTAACCACTTTATAAACGATAAAAAAAATTCAACTATTGTATATAATTTTATATATTTTAAATGTGCATATGTCGGAATATAAATACACTTAACTTATAGTATTTTTATTTGTTATGAGCATATACGTTACAATGTACTTCGATTGATAAGCTATAGTTTTTATTAGTTACTTTTTTTTATTTTCAATTTTCCATAGCGAACATTTCAAAATAGGGTGGGAATGAGAATTTAAATGGTTTTCCTCAATTTTCTATTTGTATCCATTTAAACAAGAGTTTAACTTTGATAAATTGGCAGTATAAAACTTTTTAGAGGAAGGTTATGTTTACAATTTTTTTTTACAATCTCTTACGACTATATCTTAACACCGTTGATTTCTGCCGATCAACGGTTATCATTTATTATGAATTAATAATTAATTAATGAGTTTAATTTGCAAAAATCATGACCATTGATTGACAAAAATTAACAGTATTAAAATATAGTTGTAAAAGGTTGTAAAAAATTTTTATAAGTATAACCTTCCTCAACTTTTTATACTATTGTACTAAAAAAAATAATTGATACATTATTGTACTAAATTAATACTTATGCAATGCACAACATGATTTAAAAAGTAATTAGTATATAATAAATAAATAAAAATTAATAGTTCATTTTACATGATTCATTTAGTTGTGTTTTTTTAGATACAAAAAATTACTTCTTAAAGCTGAATTCATATTCCATAAAATTAAAATTAAAATTTAGATTAAGTAATAAAGGAATTTGTTTTGTCCCCATAATCACAAGTTTCGAATTCGAATCCTAATAATAATAAAAAAAAAAAGGATCGTGTGAGAGTCATTATCAATATGGATCCAACAAAAACCAAAAACCAAACCGAATTAGTTGTCTAGTCAAGACTCGAGTAGACATGTAGGTTCAAAGAGAGAAATGGCAGCAAAAGCAAAAACCAAATGTATTGAAAACAGAAAATAAAAAACAGGCCCCATGCCATGAGTTTCATGAAGCATACAACTACCGAGTAACTAAAGGGGAAAGAAAAACGTACAGCAAACTATAATAACCAGTCCATGATACAAGAACATAAATAAATATCCAAGTTAAGTTTTAAATAGAAGATGGGACGACAGTTTAGGGAAGACAACATTACAAAGGTTAGTAGCTAAAGTTACATAGAAAAAGGGTAAATAAACTACAAACATGTGTCATCAACACTGACAAAGACCTTACTCCATTGCCAGAATCGTCACTTCCAGAGCTTGATAAACTTGTCATGACTGGCAGAAGCAACCAAACCATGTACACTTGAAACAGCCAACGCAGTAATAAGACCATCATGAGCAGGCAGTGTCATTGTCTTGTTCTCGTTCATGTTCCACAGCTCCAATGACTACACAGCATTTACTAAGTGTAAGAAGCCAAAATTACAATAGTATGGATCACATTTACTCTCCACTCATCCAGGATAACATACAACCACAAGATCATAGCCCCATTAGCAGCCACATCATTATAACAAATACAATCTACTTTCTTTATGTATTATCAAAGTAACTTTCATAATCAAATAACTTTTATTCTGTATATTTCAAAAACATCTTTATCATCCATCATACTCAGGGACACATGTGCATAAGGTGCTCATAAAAAGGTTCCCCACTCCTTTTTGATAAAGCTTGAGACTCACAAAAACCCCTTTGTTACAAAACCCTATTCTTTGTGTCCTAAATGCCATATTAGGGGGCAAAGATGACAAACACAACCAAAATATTCACCAATATCAAAAAGGAAAAAAAAAAATTAAAAATTCAACAAAAAGAATGTAGACTTGCCTGGTAACAGCCAACGACCAGTAATGAAGGGTAAGTTGGGTGGAAAACACATGAGTGAAACTTATTGCCGTTACAGCTGAGCTCATGAACACATTCCCCTTCACTCCCTGTTCCAAGGTTCCAAACCCTGACAGAGTCCTCACTCACAGATGCCAGCGACTCTCCAGACGGGTCCCAACACACAGAATGTATTGGTTTTGTGTGTGCCTACAATCATAGGACAACATTCCAATGAAGAAAGTCAATCATCCACTTGGGACAGTATCAAAACAATTAACTAAATGAGGAACGTAAAACTGGCAGAAATCACCTAGACAATGAACATACAAGCTCCAATGATGTTAATTGTCAGGTTATATAAATACACTGTTGTCAGAGGGGTTTGGTTTTTATAGCAACTACGACTAATGTTTCTTTCCTTAACTTTCCTCCAGCAAAGACAGATAAATTGGCAGTTTGTTTAGAGGCTGGGAGCAAATGCAGGTGAAATCATCATTGAAACAACATTATAATTCTTATAACGTGAGAGCATATCTTGGCTAGACTCATCAACTAAGGCTACAACTCCATAATCAGCATTTTTCACAAGCAAGAAACTCAATCTTAGTCTTGAAGAGCAACACGAAGACAAGGTAAAATTACCACTGTCAGGATGATGAAAAAAATAGCAACGAATATATGGTAATAATAGACAATTGTGCCAGATCATATAGTAAACAGATACTTTGCGACAGTCACAAAAATTATAAATTATAACCAAATGGGTAGCTATCAACCCCCTCATCTATTAAAATTGTGTCTCCACAATTATGAACAAGCCCAAATATATAAAACAAGGATTTAATAAATTCGCAAAATTAATGAAGGCAGAAAATGGCTTAAATATAGGCATCCGATTCATTACATAGAAAATTTTATATGCGCATATCTTTTGGCCATCTTGTAATATGTTATCACTAAGACAAGAAATGATCCAAGTTACTCTCCTGACTAAAAACAACATTCAGTATAAATTTCAAGTTTAATTCTGAACCTCTAAATATAACCAGATAAGATAAAAGTGCAAAACTCACTAACTCTGACTCAAGCAGAATTCCAAACCTCTCATTGAAGGCATTTATTTTACCTCCAACGGAGAAAATAAAAAATTAAGCAAACCAACCTTTAATGAATATCGGCATGCTTGAGTCTCCACATCAAGTATAGACACTATGTTATCTGCAGCTGCAGCAAGGTATCTCCCTAGACGAGGTTGAAATCTCATCTGGGCAGTGCCACCCTAATCAGCAAGAAAATTGTCAGTTAGCGGATTTAAATGAATACATCATCAAATTAATACAAAAGCTACTACAGAAATTTTATTTTGCACAACAAAAAGGGCATCGTATTACCCAAGTTCCAGCAAAGGGTTGGACCCACTGTGTAAGTCTTGGTAGCTGAGATATGCATATAAATAAGATAATAATGACTAAAATTCTACCTTGGAGACTCTAGCACAACTGCCATTGTTTATGCTCCAATATCGTATCTCACCATCACTATCACAGGAGCAGATCAGGTCATCTTTATTTGGGTGAAAATCTAGAGACATAACAGATGCAGAATGTCCCGTAAAGGTGCGAAGTGAATAACCAGGCTGCATAGTAATTACAAATTCAGTTAAAGCAGAATACCAAGTAGAAAAAAACACAATTCACCAACTTCTAAACAAAGCCAAACAAACTATCCAAAACTGCAATCATTAACAACATCCCAACAAATAAATAGACCTAATGTTCACATCTACATAAAATAACAGGAAAACTTTTTCCGAGCCTTATACAACTATAATAAAAACAATACTAAACATTTATCTAGCAATCAGAAAATTATGCATAGATCACATGATTTTTAGAAAAAGACAATTAGAACATTAGAACTCATGGTGGAACTCAACATCTATGTTGAACACAATACAATCTCTATAAACTTCTAATTGCTAGTAACAGTAAATACTACAAACAATACGAATTCCTTAAGCTTCTAAAGCACTACTCTTGCACCATGAAAGAAAAAAATATAACCTTTTTGCATAACAGTCTTTGAATAATCAAATTTTTCATTACAACTCACCATGAGGACCATAGCATTATAGAATAGTAAAACCGCATCTAGGAACTCATACACCAGGAAACACAGCCATTAAACAAAAACATATCTTGAGGCATAATATACTTCAAACTCAAAACTTAGTAGTTATTATGATATTATGCTACTGTTTATAATTTCAAATAAAACAAGCACATCAATAAGTTGTACTATCTCACTATCTACATATTTTCAGTGAAAGATGGCCACCTACACATCTCTATAACTTCGTGGTGTGGCACACTTCAAGGCATGGCAAATATTAATATTTGCAACATGCAAAGTCAAGTTACTTCAACCCTTTATTTCGAAACAATTTCTCTAAGGTGTATACTATCACAGTAAAACAGCAAAGGAATCTACTAACATTGTCAACATCCCAAACCCTGACAGTTTTGTCAAATGAAGATGTTGCCAGACGAGGTATGTTTGGACTGAAACGGACATCAGTGATCAAAGCTGAATGCTCTTCAAGAGTAGCTTTTTGCTTTAGAGAATCTGTGTACCATAGAACAGCCTGCATTACAAAACAATCAGGAGGGAAACGTCATATTGTTCCATATCTGAATAGAAAAAAAAAAAAAAAAAAAAATGCTTTTTTTGTTTTTCAATATCGTTCAAGCAGGACAGCTGCACAAGTTTACAGCTAATTTCAGGTGGTTGAACAAAGAAAGTACTAAATAAATATGCTTATCAAGAACAATGCTTTCACTGACCTTTTTGTCATGGCCACCACTTGCAAGCAATTTCCCATCAGATGAGAAATGGCAACAAGAAACTTTGCTTGTGCTTGCACGTACAGAATTTACATCAGAAAATGTGAACCCTGAAAACAAAACAAACTCATTCATTTAGCTTCTGACTTCTGAGTCATTGCTTCTTTGTGCAAGTCAAGGAATTAAAGAGTGACATTACAGATCCACATATAAAAGAGAACAAAGCACACCTCTTCTAAATTCTAAAACCCACATACATTTATCAAAAGGAAAAAAAAGGAATTGCACATTACATAATAAACATTCTAGAGTGTATTTGAGAAAAAAACAAAAGAGATATCACATGAATCATTAATTGTTGATTTCGGTTTAAGTCAAGATTCGTATTTTATTGTAATTCACCATTAACATAACAAGTTATCTATTCAAAGAAAAGAATGCAATCTTTTTGCATTGGAGGGAAAATTAGACATACACATAGACTTGAGAAACTCTTTTGCAAGGATGATGCCAGAATATTATGATCAATAAAAAATGGTGTTTACTGCACCTTTGCTTACATCCATACAACGACCAACAGTATCTCTAGGGTCTGTATCATCATGGGATAAAAAAGACTCAACATTTTCATCTAGAGATCCATCCTCCACAAAGCGATCCACATCAGCCTGCAATTCAAGATCCTTATCACCCCACTGCCAAAATGGAATGGCAATGAGTCTACACGCAAGGAACTAAATCATTCCTTCCATCAATTGAAATGCACGGAAAAGCCACTCACCAACTGGTTTGACGGTGATGTAAGAGTTCCAGTGCCATCAGTGCCAAACATCATTAGAGGCTTTGAAGAACTGCCACTATGAGGCAAAGCAGGCATTGATATCACATCTCCAGGCGTGTGAGTTGAGGGAGTCGAGGGAGCTGAACTTGGCGATGGGCCTGTCGTATTTGCAGTTCCAGAACTATTGGCAGGACCTGAAGAAGATACAGGCTGCTTTCTCTTTCTCCCAATCTGGTTTTTTGAAACCTTGAAGTGCATTCAGAAAACCATGTTAGGAACCTTTTTCATACTCTTCGTAAGGTACATAAATCAGAAGTCTGTCAAATTCAGGGATAGAATGCATAACCATGTGTTTAATAGAAATAATTGTCAAAATATTCTGCCAAGACATTGGCATTTTTTCAATATATACAGTTAACACTTACAAAGAAACAAACAAGTAGTTGAAGTTATGATTTCCACATTGTTAAGTGCGGAAAATAAATAAATGCATAATAAATAGCCTCTTCATTTGTAGCTTTGACAAATGGATCATCACATATCTGTTCAGAAGGGTTCAAAGAAATAAGTAAAAATCTTTTCCAACTACTCAGTTTTAGAAGTTGAGGTTAAGGAGATTATATTTTGCAATACTTGAACTCAAAACCAGTGAAGAATACAAGGAAATAAATTCGCCATCCCTTATTCCAAACTGCTTCCCACCATATAAATTCTCAAAAGTCAGAATCATAACACAAATCAGTTGCAATGTCCAAAATTATAAAAACATAATAACAGTAAAACTAAATTTATGAGGAGACCAACCCTGAAAAGGAAGATATGCAAACAGCTATATAGACAGGAACAGACATAAGAGGATTAAAAAGGAAGTTAAATCTTGATGTGACTATGTTAGGCATGAGGCCCAGCCACGACAGAATGTTGAGTGTAGGACCTGGAAGATTTGTTCCTGAAGGAATAAAAAATAAGAGTCCAGACGCTAGTTAGTTATAGTAGTTAGGAAAGTTAGGATCAAAGAGGATTTATATAGGCAGGAAGTGTAGAGGATGATTGGTCAGGTTGGAATAATAGTATGTGTGACTGATATTTCTCAGTGTAAGGGTATTACCCTTGTAGAGAGGTCTTCTCCTTGTATTCTTTCTCTCTCTCCAAAACAGAATAACAGACTCCATCTCTCTGGGTTTTTTTTTTTCCTCTCCCAACCATACATTCTGCAACCCCTATTCTATTTTCAAACGGATACCTATCAGACTACTAGTTTTAGGCAAGGAAATTTTTAATCATGCAACTGAACGTCAGAGCTTACAATTTACAGAAAGATAAATGGCTACTTCAATATACTTTAGAAAATAACCTGATTGTGAAGAATAGAAATTCGCTAGCCATATTTGTCAATAATTTCACATTCTTTTAAAAGTCAGAAGAAATATATTGCCCAATGATTCCATACGCAATAAGGACCCAAGAAACGAAGTATTGCTCGAATAAGCGTGTGATATCGGCAACTATAAAAGGACTGACCTGATCATTTCCCCTAAATGAGTTTGACATGCTACCATCCACAGTGACACTGCCACCACCTCCCCCTACTTTATCTTGCTGATGCATGCTATGATTTGATGTCTGGGATTGCGGATTCGAAAGAGCATGCTGCTGAAGTTGCTGTTGTTGTGCATTGGTGCTTGACTGTTGATGTTGCTGCTGTAACTGAGCCAGTTTCAACTACACATACAAAAGCTTTCAGGGGATGGATATCATGAAACTTTTCCTAAATATAAGAAAATTATAAATAAAACAGTTTAACAAATTACATAAGAACTATACTCAAGATAGAAATATAATTAAAAGAAAACTACCACCTTCATTAGAATATCTGTATCTCCACGAGGAAAAGGAGGGCCACCACCTTGAAGAGGTGATCCAACATTTGATACCACATCACCAACAGTATTTGAAAGACCATCCTTATTTAGGCCCCCCATATTCCTATTACTCAAAAGCATTCTGAGTCTTCTACTTTCTTCACTGGCAGATGGTGATGCCAAATTTTGCTGTGCAAGCAAAAGCTGTTGCTGATGCTGAGGTGTCAACATTTGAAGTTGATGAAAAGGCTGAGGAGCCTGTATGAAAGGTTTTTGTTGCTGGAGTAGACCAGAGCGTAGTTGCTCGAAACCCTAACAAAGGATAGAAAAGGCTTAATAGTGAAACTTAATTACTGAATTGATCAGTCTCAACAATTAAAGATGCTGCGATGAAAAAAAAACTCAGTAGGATGATTGATAGAGACTTCAGAGAAGAGGCCACCATTTCTAGAAGATGATGGAGGTTTCGTAGGGTCAACAAATACAAGCAAAGGTGAGCTACATCTGCCACTTGGGCACAACTCAAGTAGCAAGGATGGTACAAGATTAGGTTAGAGGTTCATATGCTATGTACATCGTGAGAGAGAGGAGGGCCACATCCTCATATCACTCTCTGCAAAGAAGACTACAGAACACAGCAATTTTGAAGGATATATGATATGACATCAGATTAAGATAACATAATATATCCACCAGGAGAATAACATTAATTAAAATAAATATAAAATAAAAAGATTACTCACTGTGAGTGGCCACCCTTTCAGAGTCAAATTGTTGTCACCTTGATTTGATCCTAACACAAGAAAATCTCGTTTACTCCATTTATGTGCAAGGATAATAATAAGAAGTCATGGAAAATTTAAAATTAGATCTACATCCAACCATGAACAAACTACAAGAAAAAAAAAAATCAAACTCCATCACCTGCAGCAAACCAGTTACCAAATAACATAAATCAGTAAGGGGGAAAATGATGGGAAAATACCAGGAATTGCTATCAAGGATCCTTCAGGACCCGCAGCTCTGGGATTTAAGATGGGATTAATCTCACTCTTAATATCCTGATTCAAAGAGGCAATCAGGAAAAACAGCTGATAAGAAATATAGGAAGTAATGAGATTACTTAAGAAAAAAGGTATACCATAGTAGACCCTGGTAATTGCTGGCTACGAGCTTGAACTTGTGGAGACATCCCACCAGCAGCACCGTGCAAAACTTGCCTGAAATCAAGAAATTTGGTGCTAACAAAGTCAAGACCTTTAACTACAAAGAATGCTGGATGCTAAGACAACTGAACCCAAAATACTTCTTTTTTAGTAAGGAGCAGATGAACATTGATTCTTCAAAGGCAGGACGTCCAGAAAAGACTAGAGGATAAAAAGATCATCTTTTTGTTTCACATTAATAAAGTAAGCTTCATATCATAGTGTTGAGATATATAGTCTCACATTGGTTGTATGAGCAACTAATGTGGAGTTTATAAGGCCTTGGGCACTCCCACCCTTTGAGCTAGCTTTTGGGGTGGTGTCTCCCAAGGTTCTTTACATGGTATCAGAGCCTCGCCGCCCCCCACTTTCTCTTGTGGAATTTCTTAGCGCAGGTAGGCTGGGCCTGTTGCATCATCCACTCTTCAAGCTCAATAGGCTCTTGTATGAGGGGGCGTGTTGAGATATATAGTCCCACATTGGTTGTATGAGCAACTAATGTGGAGTTTATAAGGTCTTGGGCACTCCCACCCTTTGAGCTAGCTTTTGGGGTGGTGTATCCCAAGGTTCTTTACAATTGTATAATATTTGTACAAGAGTTCTCTATTTAAAGAGACTAAAAAACCTAATGGGCTAAGCCCAAATACACTTATAGAGTATTATAAGTATTACAAAATAATAATAAAATAATTCTATTATTTACAATACTCCCCCTCAAGCTGAGGAATGGATATTTATCATTCCCAGCTTGGTAGTAAGTTCTTGAAATCTATCATTAGGAAGACCCTTGGTTAAGACATCAGCCAATTGACGACCAGAAGGAATATATCGAGTAGTGATCAGTCCACTGTCTAATTTCTCTTTAATGAAGTGGCGATCAATCTCAATATGTTTGGTTCGATCAGGTTGAACTGGATTGTTGGCTATACAAATAGCTAACTTGTTATCACAAAGTAACTTCATAGATCCTTCATATCTCACCTTGAGATCATCTAGAATGATTTTCAGCCATAATAACTCACAGATACCTTGAGTCATAGCTCGAAATTCTGCTTCTGCACTTGATCTAGCAACCACATTTTGCTTTTTACTTCTCCATGTTATAAGATTTCCACAAAGAAAATACAATAGCCCGAAGTAGACCGTCGATCAATCACAGATCCAACATAATCGGCGTCTGTATAAACTTCTAAGGATAAGTTTCCTCCTCTCTGGAACAATAGTCCTCTACCTGGTGTGCCTTTCAGATATTGGAGAATTCTGTCCACAGCTCGCAAGTGTTTCTCCCTCGGATCATGCATAAATTGACTAACAACACTAACTGCATAAGCTAGATCAGGTCTGGTATCAGAGCCTCGTGTCCTGGGTTCAAATCTCGCCGCCCCCCACTTTCTTTCCGGTGGAATTTCTTTCTTCGCACAGGTAGGTAGGCCTGTGCATTGTCCACTCTTCAAGCCCAATGGGCTCTCGTGTGAGGGAGCGTGTTAAGATATATAGTCCCACATTGGTTATATGGGCAACTAATGTAGGGTTTATAAGACCTTGGGCACTCTCACCCTTTGAGCTAACTATTGGGGTGGTGTATCCTAAGGTTCTTTACACATAGTATTTCATATCAAACTTAAATTAGCTAAGCCAGAGACTAATTAAGAACAACTACCTTGAATCTCCAGAACGACTAAAAACAATACGCAATAAAAGCTAAAAAAATTTAAATAGAGAGAGAGAGAATCACCCCGAAGGCTGGCCAGTAGCTGCAGCTGATTTCAATATTGAGGCATGATTTGAGTCCAAGAGTTGACCCATGTTCTCACCAAATCTTTGCTGTATAATATACCAAAATAAAGCAATGAACATATGTGTCATAAAAACAGCAGTTCATCTTATAGTAAGATATAACGTGAACATCCCCTACCTTCATTGCCGCATCATCCAAAGAATCCCTCTGAAGGGGCAATTTTAACCTCTCTTCATACATCTTTGTTGCCAGTGCATTTGCAGTTCCAGGGTTTCCAACTAACCCATTTGCACTACCATTTAAGAGATGAGCCCTATCCCTACTTTGCTGTTGTTGTGGTGGTGGTTGTTGTTGCTGTTGTTGTGGCTGCTGTTGCTGTTGTTGTTGCTGCTGTTGCTGCTGCTGCTGCTGCGCATGCCTCTGCAACAGAAGCTGTTGCATCTGCATGTGTTGCTGCTGCTGTTGTTGCTGCTGTGACTGCTGGGGCTGTGACTGTTGCTGTTGCTGCTGTTGTTGCTGCTGCTGTTGCTCCCTTGCCTTAATTAATTGGGTCTGCAAATGGAGTTTCACAAACCATAAACTTAAAGTAGTACCTCAGTATCATTTTCTCTTATCTTAGAAATTCTTCCGTGATATTATAGATTCCAGTATGCCATTTCGCAAGAACAGCAAAGATAATAGATGATTAGCTATAGATACCTGAAGAAGTTATCCAAACTGAAATGGTTGGGTACTTCTTAGTTATTACTCGGTTAAAACAATATAGTCTATAATTTCTACAGTTTAATAAAGCGACCAAAGCAGCCCAGTTTGGACCAATTTGCCTGTTTAGCACCACACTAAGGCGCAAAGGCCCCTCACAAAACTTATGAAGAGACATAAACTGATCATGATACATTAAAAAGGAATCTGGAGATGAAAAGGAAATGTAAGTTCTCATCACAAATAGGAGAAATATCATTAACCTAGCCAGGCAAGTGAATTTATAACAGGTTGAGACACATCATAGAACTAGAGACTCATCAAGTACACAAATAATCACAGGCTCAAACGAGAGATTGTAGTGTCAAATTATACTGCAAGTCACAGCAACCTGGAAATAAAGATTAAACATCTTTCAACAATATTCAACATCCGCGTCACCTTCATCCCAGACTAGTTGGGATCAGCATTCAATGAACCCAAATAAAAGTAAGAACAGATTGAGGGAAAAGAAATAATAAACAAGAAAATTATTATATATGTATATATGTATATATAATAAAAAAAATTAATAAATAAATAAACATAGAAAAAATCTATCCCTCCACAAAGCTAATAGCTTTCCCCCGCTCTGCCCTAAGACAAACTGTTCGCCAATCTATTTCTCATTCATTAAGTCTTGTTTAATTAATTTTCCCCAAGTAAGTTTAGATTGACCTCTTCCTTTCTTTATGTCAGCTCTCAGCTTATGTTCTTTTTTTTTTGGTAATCACTCTCAGCTTATGTTCTTAACCGAGCATCTAGGAGTCTGCAAAAATATGCCCAATCCATCTCGATCCATGTTCTCTCGTCATTTCTTTCACGGTATTACTCCATTTTTTTGTCAAATATCTTTATTTATCATCTTTTAACAATATTATTGAATAAAATCCGATTCTAAAGAAAAGATCCTAACTTTCCTTATAAGCTAAACTATACAAAGAAAGCAAAGAACAGCTAACCGAATCAGCAATTAGATAAGAGGTGCAATAAGGTTAGCTAGAGAGACTGAAAAGTTATACTCAAAGGAATGCATAAAGTTATACAAGAAAAGGTATAGTTCGACTTTTTCAACAGCCAGTCACATTCAATTCAAAATGTGACTATGTCACAATACTGCTTTTTCTTTGCTGAATTTCTAGCACCCTCATTCTACTCAAATTTAGCATGAAAGAAGGTTGCATATTCAACCCAACCTCAATATAAGATGCGGCAACCTCTGAGTGCTTCTCATTAGTCCTGGCAATAAATATGTCCCAGAAAACCGACCACCACTCGAACAAAAAACCACCAGGGGCATCAATAGCTGCAATCCCATATTGCCATCGCCAATAAATAAATAAAATGGACAAAACCAAAATGGAAGTACAATAAAGATGCCAGCGTTAAATCCAGCTTCTTTCTTTAATAAGATCGAAGTTTTAAGGCAACTCACCAACAGGGTCCGAAGATACTTTTCCTTCAGCTTGAAAAGCCTGAGCAGAAGCCTTCAAATCCCTCTTTACTAGGTAATCATGGATGTAAACATCTAACCTAAAAGCTCACAGAGGAATAACAGGTTGCATCAGCTAAGTAAACAGGGAGAGGGAAAGATTGCAACTTTACATCGACCATTTCACAAAACAGACAACAAAAATCCGGTGAACAACTACAGAAAATCGAAGTTCAGCGGCAAAAATTAGCAATATCTAATAAAATCCAGTAAAGTTGCAAGGAACTACAAACCCTAAGAGATACCTAACAAAATAAAAAAAATGGTACTTTTACTATACGAAATAAAGTACAAAACTGAACCACGAATCGGGAAAAACCCATAACCCAAATCAGCAAAGGAAAGGGAAAAACAATTTAAGCATGACCCAAAAAAACTCATGCAGAAAAAGTGATACAGAAAAAGAAAAAGATTGAAACTTGCATCTTATCAGCTTCCCAGTTGGTCTGAGACATGGTTGTGGAACAAAAAGATGAGTCTCTGTAGAAGATAATACTGAGGGGTTTTGGATGAATGAGTTGGGTGTTGTGAAACCCAGAAGCAGGAGCGGAATTTTCTTGCTACAGCTGCGACAGAAGCATTAGACAAGAATGGAAAAAGGGACTGTGGATAGACAATGATGCAAAATAGAAAGGAGAAGAAGAAAATCCGATGGATCAACAGAAACAGCAACAACGCCTCTATATTCTAGGTAACATTTTGGAGAGAAAAATATTATTTATACGTTTTATTACAATAAAATTAAATTTATTCACGTTTGATTATTTATATACTTTTGAATAAAAGAGATTATACTTATTACATCTCTTTCCTTACAAGTTAACAACCTATTACAATAAGTGGCGGAGCCACGAATTTGTAAATGTTAAAATTTGAAAATTCAATCAAATAATTTTTTTGGCTCAGGTCGTAATGCTGGCTCTGTCACTGTTTACAATGTCAATTTAATAATTATAATTTTTTAGATCATATTTATTAATTAATTATTAATTTTTAATAAAATAATTATTAAATTGATAAAAATCAATTATTAATATTTATTTATAAATAAAAATAAATTATAAATATGACCTCTCTTCTTTAATTATAAAATAAAAGAATTTGTTTCTTGAGATTTTAAAATTTAACTTTTGAATTATGTAATATTATCTTGATGATTATGTACGCTACATTTTGGATAAAAATATATTTATAAATATATAATTCTATAGTTCACATTCATTAATATTTTGAGATATATATATATATATATATATATATATATATATATATATATTCAGTTTTATTTTTCTTGTATCACATAAGAGAAATCATATTTCCGATTCTTACTTCGATTTCAGTATTCTATTTTTTTTTTAAAAGTAAAGTGGATCTCACCATTTGTTCCATGTGTAAGAGACAAGATTTCTCTTACGTGGCATAAGAAGAATAAAACTCATATACATTATATGTTAAAGGTGAAATTGAATAAAAAATTAATTTATTTATCCTTATGTATTAGATTATAAACAACTTTTTTGAGAATAGTTGAAAAATAAAGATTTTAAAATATATTTTTTAGAAAATAACACATGTCAATTTTTATTTTTTTATTATAAAAATATTTTTTAAAAAAATATATATGTTTTTATAATTTATGTTTTTTATTCTACTTGAATCAATTATACATTTTCATTACAATCTTGATTTTTTTTTATAATTTTAATAACAAATTGCATTATTGTTAATGAAAATAGTAAATTATAAAATTATAAACAAAAAATCAAGATTGTAATGAAAATGGTAAATTATAAATATTAATCATAGATTGAAGTGACAAGAAATTTATCCATATTAATTAAAATCAAAAGTTTCGAGTTTGTAATTTTTATTTTTTTAAAGTGGGGTTAGATACCTGTATTTTAATAGAGTCAAGAAAGACCGTCCAATCTTTTTAAAGATTTTTGAAAAAAAAAATTATATATCATCCATCAACAAAATTCTTATATCAAACTGCAGGATTTGAAGTCATGTCTTTATGAAACATTGATCAAACCCATGATGCTTAACTTTGTTGACTAATTTTCATTTTTTACAACCGACACTCTTCTTTAGTTCTTTTATTAGAGCATAACTCTAATCTCGCTTGCTTGAAACAAAACTTAACAAGTTTGTAAAATTTATAAAATATCTTGTTTACTCTCGTACTGAAAATTAAAGAAGAGGTTATATTCACCATCAATTAAACTTATTACTTTTTACTATTTTTTTTGTAACTGTCGACTTAATCAAATACACGCTTGTCATTTGATATAATTTTTTCTCTCTCTTCCATCATTTACTCTTTCTCTCAACTTCTTCTTTCAATCATGTTTTAGATTTTCAGAAAAAATATTTATATAGTTACTGTATATAAATTATCTGTATTTATTCTCAAAACGATATTATTTTGATATTAAAATATTAAAAAATTAAATTATAAAAACTATTATAACTCCAACCACAGAAAAAATGAATAGTTAATTTTTACTATCTAATGGTTATAGAAAAGGTGATAAGAAATGATAAAATTAATTGATAATAAATATAACATTTCTCAAATATTAAACGAAGATGAAGCATAATCTGTGCCTAACTTGAAATGCCAACAAAGAGTTTACCCAAAAAAAAAATGCCAATGAAGAAAGAGCCGTAGTACCATGCTTCAAAAAATTTCTCCTATTTCAGGTTCAGTTGCAAACAAAACTAAACTTTTTGCGTTATCTTGAAAATCATTGGGACAAAGTGTTTAGATTCAAAAGAACCAAAACTTTGCCTTAAAAAAAAAGCTTTTGGAATCAATTACAGAATACACATATACAAAAGAACAATTTGGGACAATCATTAATTTTACACGATTGGGGAAATAAAATAGCAATATGCTACTGTACTCAGTTTATTTTCTGTAATACCACAATTGAATTATTGAATTTATCAAGACACATTTTATCACGTGAAGTTAATTGTGTCAATTGGACTAGTCTTCTTGATTGAGCAAATTTAATTCACATGAATCTACCATGTGGCAAAATGTTTGTAATGTTAAAGTCTTATACTATTGAAATCATTTGATCCAGTCATCAGGACTCACGTCCTTTTACCACGTGATAAAAGGTGTCTTGTTAAGTCTAATAATTAAATTTTAAGAGTGACGGGATGGAAAAATAATTTTTCAGGTATGACATTCTCACATTTATTATCTCAACATGTGACACTTTAATTGTTATCCAACTAACATACTCAAATTTCGATTACATCAATCAAAATCCGAAGACTTCCTTTCTCTATTCTTCATAAAAAAATAAATAAAAAAATGCCAAATTTTGACAAATTCAGTGTTCATATGCTTATGATTTTTTTGCTGGATTCGTCTGAGGAAAGTGTTAGGCCTTCGTTGTTAACTCGATTAAGGGCAGAGAATTTTAGAAATTGACATCATATTTTTTTTTCATATAGTTTTTTTTTCTGTAATCTTTTTTATATATCAATAAGGATGAAATTGTCATTTTAATTTTTAATATCATTGTAATACTGAAATTTGAACTTATAACTTTATATAAATTATTCAAATTCTTCATCACTAAACTAATGAGATAATTATATTTTTTTTTTAAAGAGTTTAGTGTTTCTTTTTGTCACACAGGAAATCTACTCATAAAATATCGCTTCAGAATTTGAAAAGAAATTTTTTAGAATGTTTTGAGATAATTAAAGTCATGAGGGATAAACAAAATTCTTACAATATTCTACGTATTTTTTCTTTAAATCCCAATATAATAACGTTTTATGGTTGTTAGATAAAACTTTACGTGAGAAATATTTTTTAATAATAATTAATGAGATATGATATTCTACTTACTTTCTTTTTATTTACCTTATCTACTAATCTTTAATATCATTATATTAAAATCTAAAAAGGAGAGCAAAAAATGAAATTTTGATCAAACGATATTAAAGATGACCTTACCTACTAATCTTTAATATCATTATATCAGAATCTCAAAAGAGGAGAAAAAAATAAGATTCTGATCAAATGATATTAAAGATAAATAATTAAGGTAGGTAATATATATATAGGTTTTTTGACCCTTTTGCCTCTCATTAATTAATTAATAACCAGTTTGCCCCTTCCCCGAAACTATCCACCATCCTGCCCCCATTTAATCGATCAAGTTGAATTTATAGTTGATTAAATTGACAAAATACAGGAAATAAGAACCCCGAAATTTAATCGACTACAAATGCATCTTGATCGATTAAATTTCGGGGAGATTTAATCGACTAAACATATTGTTTAGTCGATTAAATTGCGCAGGATCAGTTTTCTAAAACCCTCTCATTCTGCAAAGGGGGTTATTTTCAAACCCTAATCGATTAAGAGCCCCCAAAATACCATCTATTCAAGAACCCACTGAATCCACCCCTTGTTGTCCCATTGCACCATCATTGGTTTACTCCTTGTGAAACTGACATTGTAGGTAACGTTTTGCCACTTGCATTGTGTTTTAAGTTTTGGTTAATTTTTTTTTCTCCTTTGCATGATATTGATTCTGTTTTTTTTTTTTAATGGTAGAACGTTGTTTGAGTTTTTGTGGCTTTATGTTATGGTCAGGGTGTTGATCTTGATGTGAGGGGTAGGGTTATGGTTGTTGTTTTATGGTAGGGTTATGGTTTCGGTTGGAGGTTAGGGTTAGGGTCTCTGTTTTTACTTTAGGGACAGGGTTAGGGTTTTTGTTTTATTTTAGGGTGAGGGTTTAGATTTTGATATTGATTTTTGAATTTTTTTTGATATTGTTATTGTCCAATTGATTTTTGTTATTGTTATTGTCCGAGTTATTGATATTGTTTCCACTTGCATTGTAGGTACGCTTGTTAAAATGGCTGGCCATAGAAGATCAAGATATGTCGAAAGTGAGAGACGCACGAAGCAACGACAAGATCAGCCGTCTTCGTCAAGGCCAAAAGACGAAGAGCCTGCTACTGTCAACCTCCCATTTGGATACTTGTTTGAGAATGATCCCTCGGTTCATGATACATTTGTATGTGACTATGTGAACCGACCTTTATGTCCTCCGAAATCATTGGATACAACATTTTTTAACGCGGAGGGATTTGACACTGTGGAGATGTTGGAGGCAACACAACTTAGGGCTTTGGCTGAGATGTTGTGTCCGTATTCAGAGCTGATGGTGCGGGCCTTCTACCCTAACCTCAGCTATATACAAGGTGAGTTGAGGTCGAGGGTCTGTGGGGTGGATATCATCATGACGACTCTGGTATGGTTGGAGTTACTGGGCTATGACTTTGATTTTGCGCAGACTGTTGAGTATGGCGCAGATAGCAGTGTAACACTTCCTGGATATTCCCGAGGTGATGCCGTGGAGGACGCCAGGAGGCCTGATATCGGACGTGGGCGGAACATTCACTACACGGTGGGGCTGCTTAGTGTAAAGTCTTGTATACTACATTATGTCATCGCCCACATTTTGTTTCCGCGAGCTTTCAATCATTCTAGGGTTTTGGAACATGACATTCCTATCATGTGGGCTATCCGACATAGTGTTATGGTGAACTAGAGGCACTATATCTGTTGGTTTATGTTTAAGGCCAAACATAAGGGTGCACTTCCATTTGCTTGTCT